ATAATAATAATAATAATAATAATCTTTCAATTTATTAATCGCTCAATCCTGCAGAGCTTGCTGGCTCTGAGCGATTTACAGTTACTCATTCACGCGGGACTAACAATGATTTATGGGGGTAAAGAGCTAACAGACTACTAAAGGATGGAAAAGAGCTAATATTGTGTGAGGCGAAGATAAGGAGAAATACAGTAAGTTACTATGTATGTTTTATATTTCACTGTATGTTTTATATTGCTAGTGTGAACGTGCAATTTAGTTAAGGTAATATATAAATCTTAAAGGAAATTTAAATTTAATGGTTTTACTCAACACAGATTGGATAATAAGGTTGAGAATAAGAACAGGATATTTATTTATGTATTTCGTATGACTGGTTAGCTGTTCTGTGTTGCTGAAAAGGAAAAGTGTTCTTATAGGATTTATATGTAGTCTTGTCGATTTGATGTATATGTATGATACAGGCTTATACTATGAACTCAAATAAATAAATTTTATTTAAACAATGATTTATGGAGGTAAGGGAGGACAACATATATCTTTTTTAAAATCACACACATCCACAGTCGGCGAGGGTTTGCTCAGCTGCAGGGTCAGACGTATTCTGTCGGCATATTCACTTTGGCTCGGCTAGATGACATCAGCTTCTCCAGGTCTTGCAGCGCCGCACTGCCACCGCCTGGCCGGAATGGCCCATTACAGGCTTCTCAGAGTCGAAGAGATTTTTTCTTAGGCTTTCAATCTCGCAAGCTAAGCATTCCGGTCGTCGGCTAACACCTCCCCAATTGGAGGGGTCTTTGGTGTGCCCACCCTCTCTAAGGAGTGGTACCCATTTTATCTACTCGCCGAAGCTTTCAAACCGCTGGGTGGACAGCGAGCTAGGGACAAGGCTGGTAGCTCACACCAACACGGGGCTAGAACTGACAGTCATAGTGTTCAGCTCAGATGTTACTAACCAGAGGATAAATCCTCTGTGCCACCACAACCCGTGCTGCTCCGCCAACAAAGCAGAGTTAAAAGACACCGGGGAAAGTCTCATGCTGCTCCGCCAACAAAGCAGAGAAAAGACACCAGGTGTTATTTGGATAAGGCAGGGCACGGGCGGACTTTCCCCTGTCTGATAGCTCAGGCACGCTCTCATGCTGTCAGGATGGTCTGATCAGGTCATCCCGACTCCGTTCCGTTCCCCTCCTTCCAGTATGCGCATCATCGCATACTCCATAGGGGGCCCTCAGTGCAGAGGTGCAATTCCTCGATTGCTCATTTATGCACAAGGGAAACAAATGGGGAAAAACATAACTCACCCACAGTTGTGTCTGATCACACAGTGATGGGCTTCACCCGCAGCTTCAAAGGGCTGTGTGATCTCACAACTGTGTGTCAGATTCCTCTGGAGGAAATGGCCTCTCTTCCCCTGCACTTTAACTGGCACATGTGACCACAGCCTAAGTAGACTTGCTTAGGGTTGGTCTTGTTGGCACTGTATCTGTTGATTCCTTTCATGCAGAACTTGCCCCTCAAGTGCTAAACATTCTCCATATCCCTATGATAGTATTAAAAAACCCACCTGTATTATTCCTTGTGAGGAACAGTGCTGGAAATACTCGTAGTACTTTGGTTGATAACTTCTTCACAAACGGGACGTTTTAAAGACAACATACAGCAAAGCAGACAAAACCAAAGCAGATGAAAAGCAGCTTTTCTATATCTGTCCTTCTGATCCAGCAGTGTAAATATTCAAATCAGAATGAAAATTATGTCCCAGGGTTAACAAATCTATAATAGAACAAGATATACATTATGCTTTCTTTTTTAAAAGCTAAATTCTATCCAAAGAAGTGCTAAATTCAGTAATTAATGTATATTATGGACCCTATTTATGTTTCCTTAGTTTGCATAACTGATTCTGTTCCTGCTAGCCATGAGAAGGAACATGGTTCATGGATACTAGAAGTTCTGCAAACTCTGCCCTCTCCTCAGTTTCCTGAGATTTCGCTAAACATTTTCAAGTTTAGGGGAGGGGCTGTGGCTTAGTGGTAGAGCTTCTGCTTGGCGTGCAGAAGGTCTCAGGTTTAATCTCCAGCACCTACAGTCGAAAGGACCAGGTAGTAAGCAGGTGATGTGGAAGACCTCAGCCTGAGACCCTGGACAACTGCTGCCAGTCTGAGTAGACAATACTGACTTTAATGGACCAGTGGTCTAGTTCAGTATAGGACAGTTTCATGTGTCTTTCACCATAAGATATATACCTTGAAAGCTGAGGTTTTCAAGAAGTTGAATTCTAACCCACAACTAAATTCTGCTCCCAGGCATCACGGAAAATACAGCTCTCTCTCTAGCTCACTGGCAGCTGAATTCACTGTTCGGTTCAGATGGGAATGAGGGAGAGAAAGACCTGTCTTCAGCCAAAGTTGTGAACAAATCTTTCTCTGAGCAGGAGCTCAGAAATTAAGTCATATTGATTCCCCCACCCCCTTCTCTACAGAACATTGATTAAACTGACATTTTTCTCCATTTGAAAGGCTGACAACAGAACATCCAGGGCACTACGGGGAAGATATGGACATGATGATGTATGCCTATGACTACTATATCCGTGGAGCAACCACAACTTTTTCGGGTGTGGACAGGTCAGATTCAAATTTTCTCCCAGAAGCCTCATATTTCCTCCAGTGTTATAGGTGGCTTCCAGCATGATTTGTTTTTCTCAAACCACTGTTCTGAAACCACAAGATAGGCTCCATTTAAATGTGATGCTGGTGGAAGAAAAAGCACTCATGTTGCATTTGCATGGAGTTTGGTTTAAACTGAGTTCTTACCAATGCAAATTATGCAGCACACTGTGCAAGTGTGAAGTCCCATGGAAGAGAGCTTTCGCCTAGCTAAACTCATGTTTAAATTGGGCTATAAACATAGGGAGGCAGGAATTATGGCCACGGAAGGCAACAAACTCCATACTGAAATGACCCACCCCTTTCTCAGTCAGGGCAATGTGGGAATTTCACTGAGGCAAGAGGCCTCAGGAAGGGGTTGGGCTTGTTGAACTACTGGGCACATAGGGAATTTTGAGAGCAGGAAGTGGGTGCTGCAAAAAAAAAAGCTGCCATGGGGGAGTGAAACTAATCACAAAATGGCTGCCATGCAGGCTTGGTCTAATAATAGATCGTTGGGAGGTTCCAAAAATAATAGGTTTCAAGCCAAGTGTCCTCCCTGTGATGGAGGAGCCATTTCCAAATGGGGGCTTTTTGCAGACATAAAGGTGATGCCACCTCAGCTCTCCTGAAGCACCTCCTACTCCAGTTACATGGAAGAAAACCAGGACTTGTTCTTTGTTTTAGGGAAGAAGTCAGTGGGTGCCAGAAAACACATCAGCAAGTGCCATAGCACTCCAGGGCACCACATGGGGGTGGTGGTGGTGGTCACTGGGCTACAGAATGCATTGGAGTGGTTCCACATGGGTAGCTGTGTTAGAAGCAGGATAAAACAGGCATCCAGAACAAATTAAGGCTCCTGTTTTAGACGGTGTTGTTATCAGTCTTGAGATCTCTATCACCCAACTAATGAAAGTTTATTTCCTCTTTCTCTTCTTTTGCAGAGATCGCCAGTGGAAGTTTATTGTCTGCAGGATGACAGATTTTGACTGTCAATTTGAAAGTGTTTAGAGGCATTGAATATATACTACACTTGGGGAGGGGGGATGAAAGAAGATAGGGGTGAAACTAAAACAGTAGGAGAGGAAATGTATTCATGCACCAGCTTCTTTGCAGAGCTGTAGCTCTTCTACCGCTAACAGGGCTGGTAAGTACCACACTGCATCCAAATTTACTTTGCATTCTAGAGGCACATCCATATGGCCCTGTATTTAGGGAACAGATGCTCTGTATCAGTCCACATTATTCCAGAGAACATAAGCTTCCCGTGCTTCCCTTCCTGTCCATTGATCTGGTGGACACCATGATGGCTGTCTTCCTACTTCCAGTGCAGAGATGTTCCTTCATGAGTTTCTTTTAGGGATGTTTGAACCACCTTCAGGTTTGTTCCACTTTGGCTGCTCACAGAGGGCCAGGCCCATTTCATGGAGCCACTCCTCCCATGTAGCATGGTACAGTACAGTGCTACATGTGAGGAAAGAACCCAGGACAAGGTTGGGCCCCTCTGCAGCCTCCTGTTCCTCCCCATAGACCCACTGATCCTCTCCTCCCTGCCTACACCCCCTTGTACCTCTCCCTCTCCTTGTAGATCTGCTGTCTCTTCTGCTCACCATTTGGAAGCTGTTTGAGGTGGGCAAGTCTCAGGCAGGTTCAAGAGTCGGCTTGCAGCCAGTCATAGCAGTTGAGCACGACCTGATTTCCTTCCAAACCTGCCTGTTGCAACATTTCTGGCAGCCCTGTTTCCTAGGGGTACCTGTTGTACTCCTGCCTGTATGCTTCAGTACCAAAATTTAGAATATGGAAAGCTGCCCTGTGTATGTGCCTTTAGACAAAACTGTGGACAAATCCATTGAATTTTATTTGTGGCTTGTTTACACTGTTTAGATACTTCCTGATACAAACTTGTTGTGGGTTTTCTTTGCTTTTTGCTTATCTGTATATCTGCAGTTTAATTTTTGCATTACTTTTTACGTACTGCATCCCATTTATGAAAAGGACCCCAAAAGCTCCCTGATCTGTGCTTTTGCACCCAAACCTCCTTTATAATACTCTCCAGCTGTGATTGCAAGGAAGCAAAGATTTCTTCTGTGGCACAGCTTTGCGACCCAGACAATTCTGATACACAGCAAAATGCTGACTAACATTGGCTCTGGAGATAGAATTGCTTATCAGCCCCATAGTCTTTGTCTAAAATTGAAATGAGACCAATGTACTCTGATGGCCTGAATGCCTTCACTTTAAGGGACATCAGATTATTTCTTTGTAAATGTCAAGCATTTCTCTGCCATCTCTTGTCATTAGAGGCCCATAATGAATGAGAATACCAGGACTGTAGACTTTGTGGGAAATGACATTTGTAATTGTAAGCTTGAACACAGAGGTGTTGGTGAACCCATTAGGTAGATCAGATGTGGGACAGAACGATAGCAAATAAGATGGGAGGCTTGAGTCAACCACAAACCTAAAGTCTGTGATATATTGTTCTGTTAAATCCAAAATGGAAGATATTTGAGAGTCCAAAGATAATAACAGTAAGAGGATATTCTGCAATTTATTGAGAATGACTGTATTAGGACATCTTTAGTAAATTCAGTATGTACAAGCACACTAGGAACTGTTATCATAAATAAAGGAACAAATCAAATAATTTGGTGACATAGCAGTCTTTATATGTGTATTCAGCTATGCTTGGGCAAGTACTAATTGCTGTCCAGGAAGTCATATTGATCATGTCCCCAAACATTTCATGGAAATAAACAAGACTTTATTATAATTCAGTGATAACAAATGAACAGGATTGCTGGTAAATATCTCCCCTGTAGCTTAGCTGTACTCCATATTAATGAATCTGGAGCGGAGCATGCAGGTCTCAAACAAGCCAATAAGTTCTCAGAACAATAACAGCATCCTTCCCATCCAGTGTGCAAAAGTGGGCTTTGCTAGTTCAGTGTAGAGTAAATAGTCATGATAAAAATGCCAATATGTAAGTACTATATAAGTATATGTAAACCTAGACCTCATCAGACATCTCATTTTTAGGTGTACCCATAGGATTCTTTGTGCCCCTGAAAATGTAAATTGCAAGTGTCACAAACTGGTTTCTGAAACTTGGTGGTGGTTATTTGTCAAGAGGCCACAGTGGAGAGCCAGCAGGGTATAGTGGTTACGAGTGGTGGACTCTGATCTGGAGAACCCAGTTTGATTCCCCACTCCTCCACATGAAGCCTGCTGGGTGACCTTGGGCCAGTCACAGTTCTCTCAGAACTCTCTCAGCCCCACCCTACCTCACAAGGTGTCTGTTGTGGGGAGAGGAAGGGAAGGTGATTATAAGCCACTTTGAGACTCTTTAGGGTAGAGAAAAGTGGGGTATATAAACCAACTCTTCTTATTAGTGATACATGGAACTATGACTGCACACTAGTTCTACACCCTGTTGGCTCACCCAACATCCATAAAATGGATATACAGTCTGTACTATACTACAAATTGTGTGCTCTGTACCCTCCAACTTTGTGGTATGCAAATCACACAGTCAGAGTCTACACATGTCACACAGAGTCTACACATGTCAGGATCTATGCATAAAGACAGTGCAATGTGTGAATGCTGAGGGGGCCGATCACATGATCACTGATGACAATTTCCCTTATGGATAGAGAAAAATGCCTGCATGGGATTTCATTGGCAAATCCAGGTTTTAATGTGAGACTTCAGTAGATGGTTGTATTTCCCCTTAGTTGCTTCTAAAGATATGGTACATTTGATTCTCAAGACCAATGAACTTGTAATTAGGGGACGGGATTCCAAAGAATGGAAAATCCATTCAGGCTCAAATCCTTGCATCTCTTACATTTGAAATCCAATAACCACTGGAATCACTGGCACTACTGCCTATCTGATAACCAGGCAAGATGCCAGTACTACACTTGTATCTGACAATTCACTGCCTGAATTTTAAGATGCAAGGATCCATCTTAATGGAACAACTTTGAGGCATCTGACAGAGTCAGTAGTCAGTAGATTCAGGACAGAGTAAACGGATAACTTCTTTACCCAGTGCATGATTAACTCACGGAACTCCTTGCTAAGGGTTGGGTCCCTTAATGGCTATTAGTCATGATGACTGATAGGGCTGCCAACCTCCAGGTGATGACTGAAGATCTGCTGTTGCAACTGATCTCCAAGTGACAGAGATCAGTTCCCCTAGAGAAAATGGCCTCTTTGGAGGGAGGACTCTGTGGCATTATACCACATTGAAGTCCCTCCCCTCCCTAAACCCCAGCCTCTTCAGGCTCCACCCTCAAAATATCCAGGTATTTCCCAACCCAGAACTGGAAACCCTAATGACTGAATAGGACCTTCATGTTCAGAGAGAGTATGCCTCTGAATGCCTGTTGCTAGGACAGCAACAGGGGGTGGCTTCAGCCTCTGTGTCCCTGATGGGCACTTTCCACGATATTTGATCAGCCTCTGTGGGAAACAGGATGCTGGCCAGGTATGATCCAGCAGGACTCTTCTTGTGTGCCTATGTAATGGGGATGTGGGACCTTCATTTATGGAAACGAAGCACTTACTCAGCAGCCATGTACTGATCAAGCACATATTTATGGAAAGAACAGAGGCTGCATGAATTGGCAAGAGATAGAATTACAGAAGCCTCTGTGAGGAGCAAATGAATCGCTCTGATACTGCCTGAGATCTGCAGTTTGTTCACAAAAGATTCCTTGTTTTAGGAGAGCCTCTATGGATTTGTTCTAGCCTGCTTCGGAGACTTTATCTCACTCTAGTCCCCTGCCAGCTCCCGCTGTTCACCTCACATTTGGCTCCTTTCTGTCTCTTTTAAACAGTTGCGCCTTGTCTGTTGTAGTCCCTGCTTGTCTGGAGCCCTTGAAAAGGCACAGAACAGATATGCTATCTTCTACTTGGATCCTCTTGAGTTGCTTTGTATCGCTTGAGCATATGCAGAGCGTGCTTGAGATACTGGTCCTGTGTTTCTGCTAGTCACAGCCATTGGCATCTGCAAGGTCTCTAAAATGGCCCATAGAACTGGCGTAGTAAAATAGAAGGACAGAGAAAACCTGAAAGGTATTGATGTGCCTGTTACACTAGATATATTGTGATATAAAAATGAGTTTTCTATTTATTGCCTCTTGTAATTTCATCCCATCATGCACAGCTGCTGTCACAATGTTCTCCCCTGCTCCGAGAGGAATGCCACAATACCATATTTCTTGAAGGTGGAGATCAAATGCCACAATAGTATTATAACCAACATACCAATGGTTGTAGCCTAGGACCATAAGCTTACTGTTAATGATAAGCTGACTTCAGCAAATCAACAGGAGTGATTTACAGTCTTTAAAGTTGAAAATGCATTGTATACACCCTACTTTTATGGTAGAGAAATAAATACTAACCACTAAAATAATACCATATTTCTTGAAGGTGGAGATCAGATGCCACAATAGTATTATTTATAACCAACATACCAATGGTTGGAGCCTATGGCAATACCATATTTCTTGAAGGTGGAGATCAAATGCCACAATAGTATTATAACCAACATACCAATGGTTGTAGCCTAGGACCATAAGCTTACTGTTAATGATAAGCTGACTTCAGCAAATCAACAGGAGTGATTTACAGTCTTTAAAGTTGAAAATGCATTGTATACACCCTACTTTTATGGTAGAGAAATAAATACTAACCACTAAAATACTAAATACATTCCAGTAGGAATGGTTATCTCATATTTCAACAGTAGCCATAACTGCTGGTTTTGATGTAGGATATGTCAGAACCTTTCAACCTTGAACTGGCAAATCCAGTAACCCTAGCGAAGTTATCTTTAGTACACTTGGGAAACTTTATATACAGAGGGATATGTGCTTTGGAGGGTGACATTCAAAACTTGGAAAACAGGAAGAAATAAAAAGAATCAAGCAACAAGGAAAGAACTTGCACTTGGGTAAGAATATAGAAATTGCAGGCAACTGTGTTGATTTTTAAAAAAATCCAAAAATCAACAGTAGGATTATAAATTTATTGTGAGGAACTGAAGTATCACTAAGTAGCCAGCATGTTTTTAAGTTTAGCAGAACTCTTTGGGGAGTTGGATGCTAAGCAAAAAAGGGCAGGGAGATTGAAAAAGATGTATTTTGGCATGGTGGAAAATCTCTAGTTTGCTGTTTGAAAGATGGAGTGGAGGAGATAATAGGAAATAAATAAATAAATTAGGCTATTCTAGGTACACAAACAATTTCAAGTTGCACCAAAGGCTTGTAAGACAAGGAAGCAAGGGCCGGTTTTCCTTTGAAAGCCTAAAACCTAGTAGTGACTCAGAACTGTTTCCAGGTCCCTAGTAGAAAGAAATACAGGAAAGAATGATGGTCTTCATATTAATAAAGCTGGAGAATAGTTTCAGGCTGGTGGGCTAGGTAAGAATAATGAACCGAAATTGTTGCTTGAGAAATGTCTGTTCAGCCAGCACCCATGTGGAAAAGAACTGAGGAGTTGCAGTTGACAACATGAATTTTGACTCAGCAATATCATCATCACTCATTCCAAGAAAGCCAGCACCATACTGGGTTGACTCAACTGACAGTTTAAATGAGTAAGACACAGGAGGTAGTTCTCCCACTCTTTTTGGCATTGTTGAGGCCTTTGCTGGAGTCCTGAAATCTGCTCTGGTTACCAACATTTTTAAAAAAGACACAGAGAAGACAAAAAGAATCCAAAGGAGAACAGCACCGATTACTACAATTCTGGAAATATATGACCTACCCTAAAATATATGATGAGAGAGTTTGCTTAGCTTGGAGATAAGATAGTGGCCGAGAGACATTGTAAGACCATGTTTCCCGTACTGGCTCAAGTCTGGCAAGCACTGGAAGAGATGGGATGAACTGGATTGCAAGATGCTGATAAACCATCTGTCTATTATACTGTTATCCCTCTTTCTCCAAAAAGCTCAGGGTGACTTCCATGGTTGCCCTTCCATCCATTTTACCCTCCCAACAACCCTAAAGGTAAGTTAGGTTTAGAGATAATTGGTGGGATCCATCCTAGTCTTCCCAGCAGCCCAAAATCCCCAGTTCCTCAGGAATAAGGTGTGTGTGTGGGGGGGGTTCAGGCTGCTGCAGGAGTGGGGAGGCTGGAAAATCTTGTTCTTTGGAAGCAAGAGCTTGCACTCACAGAAAAGCTGAGGTCATCCAGTGAGGCTGATGGCTAGATGAGGATTTGGACCTTGTACCTTCCCCTTTTCTAGCCTGCCACTCTAACCACTGTCTCACTGTGCATTTTAGAAATATGAAAGCTATTCAAGATTGCAAGTAGTCATGTCTGAAATGGGAAAGCTTTATGAGCTCATTTACAGTGCCACTGAAGTCGGTGGGCTTCGAAGGGTGTCATTCTGCTTAGGAAGTCTCATTCAAGAAAGGAGAGAACACTGAGTGTGCAGTGCAGAAACAGTCTCTTCCAATAGGTGGATGAACTAAAAAAAAATTAGTCTGTTCTCCCATTGCACTTGGGCTATTCTTCCATTAAAAAATACCATCATATTTTTATAAGTTGAAGGCTCCAGAGCTCCAGTGAGCCTTTATGTTGGCAACTTGGCATGCATGGACTCATTATCTTCTGCGG